CATGCACATTGTTGTGCAACCATCACCACCATCCATCTTCAGAACTTTGATCCCAAACGAAAACTCCATATCCATTAAAGGTAGCTCCCCTTTCCCTCCTCTCCTCAGCCCCTGGCAACTACCATTCTACTTTCTCTCTCTATGAATTAGACTATTCTAGGTACCTCATACAAGTGTAATCATACAATATTTGTTCTTTTGTGGCTTATTTCACCTACCATAATGTCTTCAAGATTCATTACCATTAAGTTACTTATAAGTTAAATAAAATGTGAAATTCTAACGCACACATCATTATGCAGCTCTATAGGGAATTATATTCCAAAATTCCATTATGATTTATGAAACACACTTGGAAGAGAGAACTGCATTTACTGGGAAAAAAAAAAAGGTGGGGGGACGTAAGGAAGACAGACAAATCAAAATTTGAAGGACCCACAGGAAAGTAAAACTTCAGATTCAGTAATAAGGAAGACAGCAGCTTGCTTGCTTTTGACTAGACTGAAGGATCTATCTAAGTATCTCAAGGCAAAAGCTAAGAAAGCAGTCCTGCAGAACAGACTGCAAACATTTAACACTGCTGGATCAACCAAGAAAAGACAAGACACTGTCGCTTTTTGGCAAAACACAGCAAGACTACTAAGCAAAAAAGCTTTAAAAATAAATACTGAAACAGAAGGATAAATTCCATTTTCCCTTGATTTGCATCTGAAAAACCAGCAGATGGGAGAGGCAACATTTAGTAAAACTGTATTGATCAATTTATAATTAACATCAATCTTTCTCCAAACAATGCACCAAGAGGTTCATTCTGGAAAAAAATGTCTTGTTCCCTAGATAGTAACATGAATCAAACATTTAAAATGAGAATAATAAAGGAAACACAAATTTGGAAGAGTATGCCATACCAGTGAATTCCTTAAAATAGCTGAAATAAACGTATCCTAAATGTTAAATATTCTAAGGGAATATTAGTAGCTAAAACTGGAACTTGCTTGCCTTTATAGAAATTAAATGAACTGGGACTTCCCTGGTGGTGCAGGGGTTAAGAATCCATCTGACAATGCAGGGCACACGGGTTCGAGCCCTGGTCCGGGAAGATCCCACATGCCGTGGAGCAACTAAGCCCATGTGCCACAACTACTGAGCCTGCCCTCTAGAGCCCACGAGCCACAACTACTGAGCCCCCGTGCCACAACTACTGAAGCCCATGCACCTAGAGCCCGTGCTCCGCAACAAAGAGAAGCCACTGCAATGAGAAGCCCGCACACCACAACGAAGAGTAGCCCCTGCTCGCCGCAACTAGAGAAAGCCGCAGCGCAGCAACGAAGACCCAACACAGCCAGGAAAAAAAAAAAGAAATTAAATGAACTACCTGAAATCTATGTATTACTAGGAGACAAGAGAAAATATGTTACTATTTAAGCTAAGTTACTGTCCAGAGTAGTAAAATTTACAAGTAACTATTGCTTTATAGAATATCTGTACATTTATCAGATTTATATATATAAACAAGCATCAAAGTACCACAAGATACTTCCACCTTTGAAGCAAAACAGCCACCTTTGAAGCAAAACAGAACAGCAACACTAGAAAAAATTAAATAAAAAGCCTAGGAGAAAACTTTAGAAATTAAAAAGTAGAAACTTAATAAAGGAAGAATCAGAATTCAAAGCAAATTTGCTTTCCGATACATGCATGAGTAAGTAAGCACAAAATTAAGCTATACAGGAGTACCACTAATTTTACAAGATAATTAGAAGAATGTCATAAGAAACAATTTTAAAAATAAGCTGTAGTGTTATGAGCTTCATACTGGGCAATTTTAAAATGACTTGTCTGTAGGTCATACCTTTCTACATGTGACAAACTGCCACAATATAGAAGAATGAACAAACACATCACCTTCACTTCCTTGTCAACCACCACCTTAAAGCACTCATGTTCAGTTAAGATACAGATGGTATGTGTTCAATACTGCACCACTTACAGATTCCACTCAATCCAAAAATCCATAAAATTTCTGCAATGTAGGTGACAACATGCTAAATTAATCATAAAATACCACAGCACTAAGATGAGGAACTTGCATTGAACAGAAGTTTAACATCAGAGATGCTAAGCAGCCTCGATCTACATAAATAGATTCTATAAAATAGTTTAGTATACTTCTGGCTTAAACTGTCAGCTTCACCTCAAAAGGAGAAGGACCTTCTTGCTTTATTTATTATTGGGAGACCGGAGACAGTACTAATAATCACTTACAGTCAACATTCTAAGGGACTGACAACTAAACATTTATTAACTGAATGTGATCAAATTCAAATCATACAGTACTTCTTGTGCCAGTTTACAAAACAAAAATAAAAGCATCACCACTCTAGAGCTGTCACCACTTAGTAATTGGAGATATTTGAAACTGCAGCTGCAATGTTTGTGTTTATTGCCTGTGCATATGACTCACTCTCAAAAAGGTTCTCCCAAGACTGGTGGATTTTTGAGAATGCAGAAACCATAACTGGGGCATACTGTGTGGGAAGTGTCATGACAATGAATGAATAAAAGAGGAAAAGAACTTGTGACAGAAAATTTTTAAGTTTTTATAAAAAGCAGGTTGCTCACAAAAGGCATACTTTTCTGCAGAATAACAGGAAAGGTTGGGGAAAGACATCCTGGCTCTGAGAAGCCTTCCTTGACTCCCTTGGTCGCATTCAGTGCATTTCTTACACTACAATATATTTAACTAGTTTCTCAGTCTGGCTCCCCGACCAGACTGCAGGCAACTTGAGACCAAAAGCTGTTAGAATCATCAGTACCTACTTCCCAAAATGTCCAACACACAGAGGGCTCTCAATAGGTATTTTCATAAAACTGGTATTGAATAATCAATCTTACATTCACCTTCTATTTTACAAAGCACTTTCACAAACATTACTCTTTTGCTTCACATTAACAATCTTGTGAAGTGGGAAGGGCAATATTTAAACAAATGGCTTCTAGTTTTATATAGACTAAAACAACCCTGAAATCACAAAGATAATCACGTATTTGTTCATCTTTGAGATAACTTCTCCTTGGGACCTCAATATTCTTGTAAAACCTAGAGGTTTTGCTAGCATTTTCACAATGGGTAGCAATTACACAGCTCTGAGTCCTACAGAAGAGTTTTAACTATATAAAGCGGTGTTAGAGAAGGCTCTTCTAGAAATCAGACATTTAAGAAGCATCCTAAGCTATTTTTCCTGATCCTCTTTCTTTGTGACTCTGAGAAGGCAAGAAATTGCAAAAGGCAAAATGCTGGAGAGTGAATGATGTCATGGATGTCATGAAGGTGCATCAATATCTGATGATGATTTAGCACAACAATGCAACACATTATGCCAAGAAGTATAATGTCAAACCACCAGGATGTTTCATGATTTCATGACTCTATATTAGCAAATTGAAATGGAGAGTGGCTCTCCAATTGTCTAAAATGGAGAAGTTGTTGGTTTAGGTTTATGTCCTTAGCAAAGGCACTAAGAAAATGTACAAATCTCTATGGAAAAGGCTTTAAGAAAAGAAAAAAATGGTCAAAAAATTAGCTACTATTAAACTAAACAGTTGTCATTTTAACAATTAAAAGCTTTTTGAAACAGACAAAACACCCATGGGTCAATGTAGATAAAGTAATATATTCATACTGGGCTTGTCAAAAGCAAACAGTTACAGGATATAAAATGACAACATACAACAGAAAGGAAACCAATCAGATTATACACATGAATACGCTCAAAATTAGGGATCTGAAACAGAGCACCACTATTCACTGTAAAAGCTATAGACTGAATCTTAAATGTTCAATTCTAACTGATGCTATTTCCTCTCAAATTTTCCTTGTCCCTTTAAATCCATGACGTCATCATTCTTAAACACAAATTTAAGTTATAAAAGGTATTTGGTGTGCCCAAGCCAATGCTATCTCCTCAACAATTCCCCGTAGCACAACTGCAACTGAAGCCTTCATTCCTCAAGGAAGAGACCACAAGGCTTCAAACCGGCTTCCCTACTTGAAAGAAACAAAGTCTCCAAATTAGCATTTGAACAACAACAACAAAAGTTGTTCTCAAAAAGGGTAAGTATAGTACAATGTCCCTGCCAGCAAGCGAGAACTGGTAATGTGTCTGAATCTTCACGCTGAGCAGTAGGAATCCCACCACAGAAAAGTCCAAAGACTTTGGCAATTGAGAAATGAAGCATTTATTTTCCTAATAAAATTCGGGAGATTAACAGACAAAAGCAATTGGGTATTCCGAATCTCAACAATCCAAAGGTTTCAAAGGATCGAGAGGACTTCATTAGCCCCGAAGTTACTTTCCAGACACTATCAAGATCTTACGACTGTTTTTTTCTTCGTTTACAAATTGGTTCCCACCCTCCACGGTTCCCTTTGCACCAATTCTCAGCAGAAGCCTTCCACGGTCACAACGTGGGCCGCCGTCTCAATCAAGGAGATCCGCAGTTCCTACCTCACTGGGGGAACACTCAAAAAACTAAGGGGTAGGAAAGGCTGCTTGTGTTTCATTTTTTAAGCCAATTCCAAAATCTTCCTTTTGCAGCTTCAGAGATGCTGGCCCCTCGCCGCAGCCCCAATTTTGGAGGGCACCGAACTCCGGCTCCTCTCAAAAGGCGTTAAAGATTTGGGGGTGGGGTGGAAGATAATTTGACACCCCAAAGCCATCCTTACACTGGTCACACACCCTTTCGTGGCTCCGGTGCGGGGACGAAAACCGCCGTGCTAGAGGGGAGAGGCCGGGTTCGCCCCCATCCCAAGGGCTGCCTGGAAAGGGGTTCTCCTCCGCCCTGCCTCACCCGGGGAGGCCGAGAATGACTACAGCAAGGCCCCCAGGCCAGCCGGCACCGACCCCCGCGCGGGGTGCAGGGCCTGCGCCGGACCCGTGGCATAAAGGGCATAAGCCGCCAGCTCCCCGCCGCGGCCCCGGGAGAGGAAGAGGCCTCACCTGGCCCAGCCAGCGCCACGCTCTCGGGTACGCTCCGCTGGCGAAGAAGGTGAGGGAGCCGGGGATAGGATCTGAGCAGAGGCGCTCCGCCGCAGGCCGCGCTTGCCGCACTCGGGATTCCTCACAGCTGGCGGGACACCCAGCCGCTCCGAGCCGCCATCTTTCTCCGCTCTAACGCCGCAGCCGCCTCCGCCGCCGTCACCGCCGCCGCCGCCGCTCTTGCTGCTCTGGCCGGGAAAAGACCACACGGAGCGCGCATGCGCCGGGGACCGGCACACAGGACACACGCGCGCGCACACACGTCAGTGCGGCGGCACCGCGGCAGGCGGCCTATGGGCGGCGCCATGTTGGGAAGGTACACGCCGCGGCCCGCCGCCCCCACCCCCCACCCCCCTGGTCCCCGGAGATTCTCCGAGGTTGGAACGCCGCCTGGAGCCAAGCTGGAGTGAGAAAACCTCGCGCTTCCGCGCTCGCTTTCTTCGGGTGCCTACAAACGGCATTAGAACTGCACTCACCCTCCTCTGCACTGCTAGGGACAACTGAGCAGTTTTCCCAACGGCTTGAGTCTATGATAGATGTTAGACCAGGAATTAATTCACGTGTACCCCGAGGGCCCGATGAGCACAAGCGCTCTTGATGTCAACTGAAGGAGAGAAACTCAGTGCCTTGGTTATGCAACCGAAGCCTCCCATAATTGTGTACCAACCATTGTGTGACTTGTTACTAGCTCCATGTTTCAGATGAGGAAACTGAGGTGCGGGATATATCAGTTATTTTCCCAAAGCCACATATCTGGGGAGTTGGGGGGGAAGGTAGGATTTGAACTCAGGCGCTTCTGGTTCCCAAGCTCTTGTACTTTCCAGTATCACTATCACTGGTTCCAGCAAAATCCCCCTTCCAAGGCAGCAGCCTGGTGTGTAGGTGAGAACCTCCGTGAATTACCTGCACAGCATGTGGTCTAAGGAAATGCCAGAGATACAGAGCCCAAGGGCTTCAGTCTTCATCCCTTGCGCCTAAAAATGAAGCAACCTTGAGCTGCCAGCCCACCACCCTGGGTAAAGTGGACCTTCTGGGACATCTCTTAGGACATAGGGCTGGGCCAGAACCCAGGTCTGCTCTCAAGTTGGGAAGGCAAGATGCTATTGAACAAACTTGGGTCAATCTCACACTAGAAAGCACTAGATCAGTGTTCCACAAACTTGAATAATGCAAAGACCCCTGGGTAAACACTCATGGAATCCCAGTATGAGAAACACTGATTTAAGAAACTCAAGACTTTCAGTTAGGAAATATCACTGCAAAAGAGAAACTTGGCAATTATAAATATAAATAAATATTAAAATTGTATCATTAAAAATCCCAAGCTTAAAAATTGTCATAGAACTTGTGAACCCCACCACCCTGACCCCCAAGTACCCTGTAGACTCAATGTTAGAAACACTGGACCAGCTTTTGAGCACTTCCTTTTAAAAATGCAGGCTCCACCTTTTGGCTCTCTGAACAGTACCATGGAGGTCAGCAAGAACAAGCACCTTATGAATAGCAGCAAAAAGGGTACCAAGAAGAAAGTGGTTGATCTGTTTTCTAAGAAAGATTGGTATGTTGTGAAAGCACCAGCTATGTTCAATATAAGAAATATTGGAAAAACACTAGTCATAAGAACTCCGGGGGGACTTCCCTGGCAGTCCAGTGGTTAAGACTTTGCCTTCCAATGCAGGGGGTGGGGGTTTGATCCCTGGTTGGGGAGCTAAGATCCCACATGCCTCATGGCCAAAAAAACAAAACATAAAACAGAAGCAATATTGTAACAAATTCAATAAAGACTTTAAAAATAGTACGCATCAAAAAAATCTTAAAAAAAAAAAAAAAAACCTCTGGGAACCAAAATCCCATCTGATGGCCTCAGGGGTTGTTGTTTTTGAAGTGAGCCTTCCTGATCTGCAGAATGATGAAGTTACATTAAAAAAATTCAAGCTGATTACTGAAGATGTTCAGGGGAAAAACTGCTTAATTTCCATGGCATGGATCATACCTGTGACAAAAGGAGCTCCATGGTCAAAAAAACAGCAGATCGTGACTGAAACTTATGTTGATGTCAAGACTACCAATGGTTATTTGCTTGTCTATTCTCTCTTGGCTTTACTAAAAAAATGCAACAATCAAATTCAGAAGACCTCTTACGCTCAGCACCAACGGGTCTGACAAATCCAGAAGATGATGCAGACAAATGACTAGATAGAAATTGTCAATAAGTTGATTCCAGACAGCATTGGAAAAGACATGAGGCTCACCAGTCTAATTATCCACTCCATGATGTCTTTGTTAGAAAAGTAAAAATGCAGATATATATACATATGTATAATAGAATCACTTTGCTGTACACCTGAAACTAACACAACATTGTAAATCAACTATATTTCAATAAAAAAATTTTAATAAAAATAAATAGACAATAAAGTAAAAATGCTGAAGAAGTTCAAGTTTGAACTGGGAAAACTCATGGAGTTTCATGATGAAGGTAGTAGTTCTGGAAAAGCTACTGGGGGTGAGATAGGTACTAAAGTTGAATGAGCCAACTGATATGAGTCATGAGTCCAAGAATCTCTTTAAAATTCACTCTTAACAGTGACAAAAATAAAATCTTACTTGTATAAAAAAATGCAGGTTGCAGGGCTCACTTTAGACACTGACTCAGACTTCTTCTAAAGCTCCCCTGGGATTCCAGTTAGGTTTGGAACTGCTAGATTATGTTAGAACAGGTTCAAATACAGAAACCACTCCACCCTGAATCTCCTAGCTCAAGGACGGCAGGGATTTTTGTCTGTTTTGTTCAATGCTTTATCACATAATTATAGAGACTGGCACCCTGTAGGGACTCGCTAAATATTTGTTAAATGGATGAAAGAATGAATGAACTGGGAATTTGAAAACTAAGAGGGCATTCAGTCAAATATTTAGTGAGCACCTAATATGTGCCAAGCCATGTGGTATGTACAGCAATGTACTTTTAAATAAAACAACAAAGTCCCTGCCCTCATGGAGAGCCCAACAGTTTACTGGGAGAGACAGACAATAAACAAATAAATAAGCCAATATAAAATTATCAATTGTGATAAGCACAAAAGTATTATTATTAAAGCAAAGTCTTTAATAATAATCACAGTCGATGTATATTGTATACTCTCATTATGTACCAAATACTGCTAAGTAAGTGCCATTGTTGAGCTTATTTTACAGATGATGAACCTGAAGCACCCAGGGATTAAGTGACTCAACTCATGGTCATGGGTAGGGTTTGAACGCAGGTGGTCTCACCTCAAAGCCTTTGCTATTGAACTCTACACAATGTTGCTTCTGACAAACAACAGGACATAAGATTGAGGTCAGTTTATATACGGCCTGGAATATCAGGAAGAAAACTGGGTATTACCTCCTAGGTCATGGAGATTGGGGGGCAAAGAAGATATGTGATGAAATGGTGTTTTAGCACAATCTCTCTGCAGTGTGAAGACAGATTGGGACATGGCTGGAGGTACGGGGACAAGATATAAGGCTAGGATGAGAGGAGTGGCTATGGTCTCTCTCATAAGTATCATGCAGAGTTCATCCCCACAATCCATTACTGAAATTCATTTCTTATGCTCTTACTTATTTAGAATAAATAATATATGTACATAAAACAAAAGTCAAAAGGTACAAAAGGACATATAATAAATATTAAGTCCATCCTACCAGTCCCCCCAGCTACCTGGTAAACCTTGCCTCTCCACCAAAGTGACCACTGTTACAAGTCCCTTGTATCTTTCCAGAGATGCATATACAAACACACACATACACATATAAATAGATAAGCCTACAAACAGCAGCCGACTAAACACACTGCTCTGGATCTTGCTTTTTGTTTAAACTTAACTATAGTTCTTCGAGATCATTTAATGTCCGTTTATTTAGAACCATCTAAGTTAACAATTCATTCTATTCCTTTGCATGGCTGGACCATATAGTTTTAAAATGAATCCTCTAGGGATGGACATTTGTTTCCAGTCTTTTGTGATTATAAGCAAAGCAGCAATGAATAGCCTCATAATTTTATTTGCATATGAGCCAATGTATCTACAGGGAAATTTCCTAGAAATGCAATTGCTGGCTCAACGGGCATGTACATTTTAAATACTGGTAGGTTTTGCCATTTATTTAACTGTCTACATAGCCCCACCTTGGAAATCAGATGGAAAGTCTTCTCACTATGGGCTTTGCTCTTATATTCCTATCACATACCAGAGTGTTTCACGTGATAGATCAAAGGGACCTGCAGGTCTGAGTGCAAATCACTAAGCCCCAAACATGAAGGGTATAACAAACATATTTCACAAGAAAGAGAAGCTCATGCTTTAGGGTCTCTGCCCGTGCCTGTTTATGCCACTGCCTCAACTTTTGGGGCTCTCCCCCTGGAGGAAGAAACTTCCACCACTTCCTCAATTTTAGACCTTACTTGGTTCCATCCCCTCATTTTACAGATGAGGAAGGGACTTGCCCAGGAGGCCTATGTGATTAACTAGGGCTGGCCTCTTGATTATCCATTTAGTGGAAGAAAAGCTATTTCCTTTGCAAAGGAAACGAGCTCAATCAAGCTCCAAGATATCTATCTTTCTGGTCTCTTAGTAGATTCAGTCTTAAGAATGCCCGCCATGGGACTTCCCTGGTGGTGAAGTGGTTAAGAGTCCACCTGCCAATGCAGGGGACACAGGTTCAATCCCTGGTCTGGGAAGATCCCACATGCCGTGGAGCACCTAAGCCCGTGTGCCACTACTGAGCCTGTGCTCTAGAGCCCACGAGCCACAACTACTGAGCCCGCGTGCCACAGCTACTGAAGCCCACGTGCCTAGAACCCGTGCTCCGCACCAAGAGAAGCCACCACAGTGAGAAGCCTGCACATCACAATGAAGAGTAGCCCCCGCTTGCCATAGCTAGAGAAAGCCCATGAGCAGCAACGAAGACCCAACGGAGCCAAAAATAAATAAATTAATTAATTTTTAGAAAGATAATTGGAGAATATCAGAAACAATTTAAAAAAAATGCCCAGCAAATTCCTTTGTTAAGTAAGGCTCATTGCCAAATGTAACACAATTGTAATAAACTGTCTCCCTCTGCTGGTAACATACTGCAACTACAAAGCCTAAAACGACTTCATGACTTGCAATTACGGAAAACTAGACATAGGTGATGACTGATTGATGGTCTCATCCACCTTTCTGCTGCCAAGGCTCAGTTAGGATAATTTACTTAAAAGAATGAGTTCACGGGAGGATATATTCAAAGTAAATATAGTTCCAGAGAGTGAACAGACAAAATCTTTTTTTTAAAATTTATTTATTTATTTATTTTTGGCTGCATTGGTCTTTGTTGCTGCGTGCAGGCTTTCTCTAGTTGCGGTGAGCGTGGTCAGTGCAACGGGCTTCTCATTGCAGTGGCTTCTCTTGTTGCAGAGCATGGGCTCTAGGCACGCGGGCTTCAGTAGTTGTAGCATGCAGCCTCAGTAGTTATGGTTCACGGGCTCTAGAGCACAGGCTCAAATTCTTAACCACTGCGCCACCAGGGAAGCCCAAGACAAAATCTTTCATCTTTGAAGTTGGTCAGGCCGTTAACGGTATTAGTGATATTTTAGAATAGAGTATTTGAGCTGCTAGTGGAATAGCCATGTGAAGTGCCAATAAGAAGCCTAGCTATATGAATCGGAAACACCGGGTCAATTCAGGGCTGTAAATCAACTTTGGGAGTCACCAACAGTGGGTGGCTTACACCATGAGCATCTAGGTAAAAACAGTGGACTGAGGACAGACTCAGAGATGACTGATATTCCAGAGACAGGAAGTCATGAAACCAGAAAATTAGTAAGCATGTTACTTTAAATAAAGACTAGTCAGAGTTAATACATGACTGCAATTTATAATAATCATTAGGAATACAAATGGCAACATTTCTCAACAGGAAATTGTCACTTTAGAAAGATTAATGGTGGACTTCCCTGATGGTGCAGTGCTTAAGAATCCGCCTACCAAAGCAGGGGACATGGGTTCGAGCCCTGGTCCAGGAAGATCCCACATGCCGCGGAGCAACTAAGCCTGTGCACCACAACAACTGAGCCTGCGCTCTAGAGCACGTGCACCACAACTATTGAAGCCCACATGCCTAGAACCCATGCTCCGCAACAAGAGAAGCCACTGCAATGAGAAGCCCGCGCACCAAAATGAAGAGTAGCCCCTGCTCGCCGCAACCAGAGAGAGCCTGCACGAAGCAAGGAGGGCCCAACGCAGCCAAAAATAAATTTATTTAAAAAAAAGAAAGATTAATGGCATGCTAATAACACAAGAAAAAACCCATTCAAAAAACCCACTCTAAGTCAGATAACTTGATTATAGTAGCCAAATGCAACACTACTGAATGATATGGTTTTAATACTGAGAGGCCTACAGGAACATGTCAGTGAGAATAAAATCACAAGGTGTTTGCTTTTCCTCCTGCTTTTGTGTTTTGGGGAAAAAAGGATAACTAGAGAAGTGAGAATTATAAGTCTTCTTAAGGCAGGCAAGACACCTCTATAATGATAATAGCTAATTTTTAGAACTCTTACTATGGGTTAAGCATTTTCCTAAGCTTTTTAGCATAGTAACTCATTTAATCCTTACAATCTACCTTTGAAGGAGCTATTATTATTATCTTTTTTTACACTTGGGGAAACTGAGGCACAGAAATCCTAAGCAACTTCCATAAGATCACACAGCATATTAAAGTTGGAAGTGTCCAGGGCTTCCCTGGTGGCGCAGTGGTTGAGAGTCCGCCTGCCAATGCAGGGGATGAGGGTTCGTGCCCCGGTCCAGGAAGATCCCACATGCTGCGGAGCAGCTGGGCCTGTGAGCCATGGCTGCTGAGCCTGCGCGTCTGGAGCCTGTGCTCCGCAATGGGAAAGGCCACAGCAGTGAGAGGCCCTCGTACCGCAAAAAAAAAAAAAAAGTTGGAAGTATCCAAAGTTGAACTTTAAAGTCCAGGGTCTCCAATTCTATACTGTAGAAAAAAAAAAAAAGAACATTGTTTAGGAAGACACATAAAGTAACTTTCGAAGTTAATGTACGTATCTGTCATTAAAGACTCAGGAGAACTTCAGAACTCCAGCTCAGGTGCAATTTTATCAACTAATGTTGATAAAACAACTAATGTTTTCACCTCAAGGATATAAACTAGTGTTAATAGATGCTTGGAATACTGCTTTATGAGCAGGAAATACTGTAATCATTTTCACTCTACCAGATAGAAATAAGAAAATGTTTTATGCATCAGCGGATATTTTTCATCCTTTTGTTACCAAGCAAGGGCTCACTGTCTAACACACATAGAAGCAAATACTATGGCACCAGCTTTTAAGAAAAGAAAGCATTTTATTGTGAGTCAACCGACAGGAGGCAGGGCTCAAATCTGTCTCCCTGTCCAGTGTTCAGGGCAAAATGTAAGTTAGAAGAATTTCACAAGCTTATTGACTAGTGTTGACAGTCAGAAGCTGATTGGAATCAAGCTATTTGGGCAGCTGGAAGCTGGATTTTTCTTACTGAAGAACTTCTTGCTTGGTAAAGGGCTCCAGTAGCAACATGTCTATTGTTTGAGTTCTGCAGACTGAAGATTCTTGGTTCTGGTGTCATCCTGGAGACATGGGTTCCTGTCTTGCACATGGGAGTGCTGTCTCTGTAGAATAACTCAAGATTTGATTAGTCAACAACCTATTTGAGACAAAACCAGGATAAGCAGGTCAATATTTTATGTGCTGTTTTAGTGCCCCCCTTTTACTTTGTACATTCCTCAATCTTAAGGGAAATAGGGCGACGACCGCTCTAGCTGCTTCCTGCTGAGAAGGGGCATAGATTTTTATAAGAGGAATGAAATTGTTTTTGCACTTGATTGTAAATATTCACGAGTCCCACTTTGAACGCTTAAGTCTTGGGCAATCAACATGTGAGTGGGGGAGGCCTTTTTAAATATATGAGATAGACAATAAGTAAAAAATTTGGTGAGTAAAAAGATTAACCCCATGATACACAGAACTATGATTCCTAATTTTAACAGTCCTCCAAAAACAGACCTTATTCTTTGGGAACCAGTGAAAACATGTTATTTTTAACATTCTTAGTGACTGAATTTGGATTTATATCAGCCTGGTCCAGACTTCTAGGTGGAGCTGTCTACTTTCAAGATGTCCTCGTCTTCTCTTCCTGACCAGGTGGAGACTTAGCTGTCCTGTTTCTATTTGAAAAGTAACTTAAGTTCAGTTAAGGGTTTACAAGTGTAATTAGGGGCCGAGAAATCAGTAGTGGGTTTCCAGGCCCCTCTAGTGTTAGGAAGGTTGGGTCCTCCTACTTCCTCCTGTCCATGGAGCGCGTGCCCTGTTTGGGAACTGTAAAGGGGACAAGGGGGGTGCTGGTTAGAAATGGGTACTATTTTTACTCTGGAGGGGTGTATCCAAGGTTTAACTCCTTTCAGCTCTACTGAAGAATGTGTAACCAGAAGGACTTCATAGGCTCCAATCCACTTGGGTTGCAGTTGATCCTCAGGGCAGTCATTTTTCCAAGTTTGAGGAGGACCCAATTCCCTGGGCTTATGCAGTGCACAGGAATGTCTGCAGGAAATGTTAATTGGCTAGAGGCATATTTATATACAGAAAATAAGATAGCACCAAGGGACTGTACACATTTTATAGTATCTACTTCTTTTACAATGAGATCACTTTCAAGACAGCAATAATACTTAGTCTTAAGGAAGGGTCTCCTGTTAACATTTCATAAGGGCTCAAGTGGCGCTTGCTTCTAGGGGTTACTCTTACCCTCAGCAGGACAACTGTTAAGACATTATCTCAAGTGAAGTTGGTTTCTTAACATACTTCGGTGATTGTCTCTTTTAAGGTATGATTCATCATTTCAGTCATAAGGGCTCCATGAAGCATGTAACTTCTATTGTAGTCCGAGGGCCCCAGATACCCCTTGCATTACCTTGGCTATGAAAGCTCCTCCACTGTCACTTTGAATGGAAAGAGGCAACCCAAAATGAGGGCTAATTTCTTTTAGTAAGGCCTTTTTACCTAGGAAGATTTCTCTCTCCAGCACAGAAAAGCTTTGACCCGTCCTGTGAAGGTGTCCACAAATACCAGCAAATATCTATAATGTCCCATGGCTCTTGGCATAACAGTAAAGTCTATTTGCCAGGCATCTCTTGGTTCTGTCCCTCGGGTTTGCACTCCTTTGAATATTGGAGGTGGCCCGGCTTTAGGATTGTTTCTGGTGCAAATCAGGCAATTTTGTATTACCTTTTGGATGGTCCTTTGCATTTATGGACTAACAATAAACTTTAGTAGCCAATGATAGGTTGCATCCTTCCCGTAATGGGTTCCTTGATGTAGATGAGTGATAATTCTTTCCATTAAATGTTGGGGCATAAGCACTAATCCCTGTTCATTATATATCCAGCCTTCTTTGTTTGTTTGGTACTGATCACCATCTATGTCTCAAGAGTCAGTGTGAAATCCCCATTCATCATCTCTCTCTAGATCCATTTCTGAATGCTGAGTCTTAAACAGGGACAGGTCCACACTTTGAATGAGTGCTAGGGTGTTTGGCTCTGGTCGCCTGTTTTGCTACGTGTTCAGCCAAACTATTTCCTTCAGCTATACAGCTATCAGTCTTTGGGTGCGGGCAATGTACTATGGCTACTTCTTCCGGCATTAAAAACAGAGTTTAATAAGGCCAGTATCGCCTCTGCATGTTTAATTTTTTTCTTTTCTGATGTTAGTTGACCTCTCTTTTTCCACATGGCCCCATGTGCATGCATGACAGAGAAGGCATACTTAGAAGCAGTATAAATGGTTACCTTTTTCTTAGCTCCAAGATGCAGGGCTCTCCTGAGGGCTACGAGCTCTGCCTTCTGGACAGACGTACCTGGAGGGAGAGCTTCTGCTTCTATGACCTCCTGATGAGTTGCCACTGCATATCCAGCTTTTCGGAGTCCACGATCCATGAGGCTGTTCCCGACTGCAAACATTTCCGTATCTGGATTCTCTAAAGGCTGATCAGTCAGGTCAGGTCTGCTAGAATACTCTTCTTCAATTTTTTGTATACAATCGTGAACAGGTTCTTCTGTTTTCATGTACAATCGTGAACAGGTTCTTCCGGGGAGCAGAGTGGCTGGGTTTAAAGCAGATACTTCTTTTAATGTTACCTTTGGGTTGTCAAATAGTATGGCCTGGTATTTGCCCAGTCTCCCCAAAGTAAGCCAATATCGGCCCTTTGGTTCAAGTAAAAGTTGCACACGATGTGGGGTGTGCACAGTGGTAGGACAACCCAGGGTAAATTTTTCAGCTTCTTGTAAAAGGTCCCAGGTTGCAGCCACAGCCCGGAGGCAAACTGGCCATCCTTGAGTTACAACATCCAATTGTTTGGAAAAGTAAGCTACTGGCCTTCTGGCAGTATTTAAATTTTGAGTTAGCACTCCAAGACTCATGATCTGTCTTTCATGCACAAAAAGATCAAATAACTTTCTAATGTCTGGGGGACCAAGTGCTGGGGCTGTTGAAATTTTCTCCTTGATGGTACGGAATGACTCCTGGCATTTCGCAGTCCAGCTTAATGGCTCATTGGCATTTCTTTTGAGAGACTCATATAGAGGTTTGACTATAAGTCCGAAGTTAGGAATCCAAATACAACAAAACCCAGCCATTCCTAACAATCTTCTCAATTGCTTTCTGGTGGTGGGTGCTTCCCTTCGATCTGGCAAGTCTCTTTCTCCTTTCGATAACTCAATTCCTAGATATTTTACAGCTGGTTGAGAAATTTGTGCCTTTCCCTTGGAGATTTTATATCCCCGGTCTGCCAAAAAGTTTAAAGTGAAGATTGTATTTTGGTCTGAAGCTTCCTTAGTTATACTAGCGCTTAGTAAGTATACCATCCGCATACTGGAGTAAGATTCCTTCATTTAATTGGAGATCCTTTAAGTCCTTGGCTAAGGCCTCCACAAAGATGGTGGGGGCATTTCTAAATCCTTGTGGAAGTACAGTCCAGGATTACTGCTGTTTTATATTAGTCTCTGGATCATTCCACTCAAAGGCAAACAGTTCCTGGGACTCAGGACTTAGGGGTATGCAATAAAAGGCATCTTTTAAGTTCAGAACTGTAAACCAGCAAAAGTCTCCAGATAAAGTTGTAAGCAAAGTATAAGGATTTGGCATCACCGAATGTACATCCTCTACAATTTGGTTGATAGCTCTCAAATCCTGTACGAAACGATAATCTCCAGTCCCAGGTTTTTGTACTGGCAGGATGGGAGTGTTATACGGGGATTGACAAGGTCGGATTAATTGGCATTTAAGAAAAGTGTTTATCAGAGGCTTTATACCTTCCTTTGGGTGCCTCTTTAAAGGGTACTGCTTTAACTTTGGAGTCTGGGCACCTGGGTGGAGTTTTACTACTACTGGGTCAGCCGTCTTGGCTCTTCCTGGTGTCCCATCAGCCCAAACTTCTGCTCTTACCTTTTTAAGAATTTCTTCAGGGACATCTGGTTGAGGCTTGTCTCCCAATTGTAATGGCGCAGCTTGGAGGGCGCAGTCTTGACCTGGGAGTACTTTGGTGTCTACTTTTTCTGCTGAGAAACCCACTTGGTCATTTAAATTTGTTAGTACCTCTTGCCCTGATGAGGGACTATGACATCCAGGCACATACACAAAGCTGTACTTTACATGTGTTTTCTCTACATGACATTCAAGCCATTGTAGAAAAGGTTTCTGAGAGACTTCCCCAGATACACCAGTAATGGATGTTATCTTGGGGGAGAGGGGGCCCTGTCTGTTTTGGGGACACTCCCTTTTCCAGTGCCCTTCCTGTTTACAAAAGGTACACTGTTGTGGCCCAACAGATGGATGCCCTTTCCGGCTGGGTTTTGGAGGTCCCCAGGGTCTTACCCGTGGTCGTCTGTTCTCTCCTGCAGACGTCCTGCTGGGTTTTGACTGGTTACAGCTGAGCAGAGCAACCTGCCTCACGATGCAATGCTCGATGCATTGCTCCTGCTTTTCCCAAATTTCGTATCAGCCTTTGAACACTTCAAAAGCAATCTGGACCAACTGAGACGTTGGTGTCCATGATCCCCCTTCCAGTCGTTCTAGTTTTTTTCTTATATCTGGGGCACTCTGACCGATAAAGTTTAAATTGACCAGTCCCACGTCATCTGGGTGTTCCGGATCAACATCAGTGTATCTTCGGAAAGCCTCATAAAGCCTTTCAAGGAAGGTGAATGGGCCCTCCTCAGGCCCTGGCTGTACATTCCGGACCCTCTTGAAGCTGTTTGCCCCTTTCTGCAGTCCAGTTATTAAACAATCTTTATAATGATTCAGCCTTGCTTGATCCCCTGGGTCACTGGGATCCCATTCTGGTTCAGTTCCAGGGATGGCCTGCTTTGCTGGAGTTCTGATTGGATTATTTGGTTTTAATTCATGAAGCCTTTTGGCTTCCTGGAAGGCCTTCTCTAAATCATGCTGCGTTCCTCTGGACTGAGTAGGATACACATGAGGGTCTGTATGTCAGCCCAGTTAGGATGAAAAACAGCAAAAATATATGTAAAGAGATTCTCCATATTCCTAGGATCATCTTGATAAGATGGCATTTTAGCTTTATAATTAAGGAAATCTATGACTGATAAACGATGATACATGATTCCAAGTGCTCTGGATTGGCCTTGGTCATCCAAGCCTGCTGGGACCTGCCTTAACGGAAATTGTCCCGCCTACAGTCGAGTGTTCCCTGGGCCAAACTGAATACCCTGGAGGGTACAGGGAGGGTAGACCATTCCTTGTTGACCATCTGCTAAGGGCGAGTACAGAGCCGGACCAGCAGCCCTAGGAGGACTGGTAAAAGTCTTGGCACTGCCTGCAGGAAGATCCCCTTCAGGATTCGCGGGAACCACAAGAGGTGCTGAGGGAGGGGCTACCGTAGGAAGTGCCCACAGTCCGGCTACTGCAAAAGGTGCAGACGGAGGGACTAGATCGTCATTAGACTTTGACTCGGGTAAAACAGGCTTTTTGTGAGGTTCTTCCCTCTGACCCATCATTTTATCAATAAATGCCTTATGCATATTTCTCCTCTTATATAAAGACATAAATGAGTCTACATACGGGATTTCGTCCCATTTTTTCTCTCTCTTACAAAACGAGTCTAACTGTATAATAGTATTATAGTTCAAAGACCCATTTGGGGGCCATTTTTCCCCTGACTCCAGTAGATATTTGGGCCAGGCAGTGTTACAAAAGAAAATCATTTTCTTTTTTTTCATACCTCTTTCATCATTAGAGGTAAACATTGACCAACCTCAAAGAACACTTTTCAAGGGAGTGCCGTCTGGTACGCTGTTATCATTCCCCATCTTGGAAGTATTTTTTTCTCAGGATGACCACAGCAAAATGACATAAAACAGATTCAATAAAGTTTTTCTGTGGTCATCCAATAGTTAACCCTATTAGCCAATTCCTAACAAACAAAACAGTCAGACATAGACCGAGAAATCCAAAGGCCTGGGATTCTAACCGGATCTTTTGGGTACCTCGGTGGTTATAACTTTTTTTTTGGCCGCGCTGTGCGGCTTGTGGGATCTTAGTTCCCAGACAACGGATTGAACCTTTCATACTGTCTCCCTTAGAGTGGGACTCTAACCCACAATCCTGATTAGACATTTATTGTCTAATAATTGTTATTAGACAATTTAGGCACAAGCGCGTTTTAATGAGGTTACTCACCCAAAAGATCCAGGAGCTGTTTCTTTCCCCAAAAGTGAAAGTAGCGCGGAGGAGCTTGGAGCGCAGCTGCTGCGGGAAGCAGGAACCCGACAGCCGAGCCTCGAGACAAATCGGGTCTAGGTGGCCACTCAGGGTCGGTGACGAGGGCCTACACCCAGCCGGGGGCTACAGTGCCTCAGCCAGGCGATCACAGGAGCTTAGTTCGTTTGCGATCGCCAGAAATTCTCACCGAGCAAGGGCTCACTGCCTGGCGCGCACAGAAGCCAATACTATGGCACCAGCTTTTGAGAAAGGAAAAAGCTTTATTGCGAGGTGGACCGGTAAGGAGACAGGAGGCAGGGCTCAAATCTGTCTCCCCCAGCCAGGGTTTGGGGCAAAATTTAAGAGGTTAGGGACATTTCAAACTTGGCACAAGCTGATTGGCTAGTTTTCAAAGCAGTCCATATATGGTAAACAAGGTACTATGGCAGATGGAAGCCGGATTTTCCTTACTGAAGGACTTCTTGCTTCAGCTGGTTTAGGGGTCCGATGGCAACATTTCTATTGTTTGAGTTCCCCAGACTGAAGATTCTTGGTTCCGGGGTCATCCTGGAAACGTGGGTTCCGGCCTTGCACATGCGCAGTAATGTCTCTATAAAAAACCCTCAAGATTTGATTAATCAATAACCTATTTAAGGAGTCAAAACCAGTTTAAGCTGGTCAATGTTTTATCTCCTGTTTCACTTTGTTGAGGTATAAAAATGTTTTCAGAATTTTGAAAAAGCATAATATGCAGTTTATGGAAACTACGACTTAAAAAAAAGTAATTGTTTGCCCTTAGAAAAGATGGTTCCAGGGACTCCCACTGAGAGAGAGAGAAAGGGCGGGGAAGGGGGACGGGGAGGGGGCGGGGGAGAGTGAGAGAGAGAAAAATCACGTTGCCCTTAAGAAAAATGGCAACTTTCTGATTTCTCTGCCCTCTCCCAAGATGGCTTCCTGGATGATCTTGGGCCTTGGACTGAAGCCTCTTCCGGGCTTGGAACGGGGCGGGGTTCATTGAGCAAAACCTTGCGCGCTGGCGCCCGCGACCGAGACGCGACTCAGGGCGCAGGCGCGGATAGGGGGTGGGGGAGGAGGGAAAGCGGCGAGTAAGATGGAAGATGAGGAGGTCGCTGAGAGCTGGGAGGAGGCGGCAGACAGCGGGGTAAGGAGGAGCCGCCGCCCCGGGGCTGGGCCGGGCGGGACCTGGCGTGAGGGAACCCTCCGGGGAGCGGGTCTGGGGATGGTTCTCCCCGAGGAAGGGCCCCGCACGCCGGACCGGGGGCGAAGGAGAGGCCCCCGGCCCCAGAGCGCCGTGAAGGCCTCTTAAAGGGGCCGCGTTCCATTTCTCCCTCCACCTTTGCCCGGTGCGCCTCCTTCCACCCACCACCCCCTTAGCGACGTGCACGTCACCCGGGGCGCCACACCCGCCCCCCAGGGCCTGTTTTTCAGGCGCCTGCTAACCCGCCCCAAGTTCCTTTGATCCTTCCTTTCCCAGTCGGCCCTCCCCCCGCCCAAAGCACCATTTTAAAGTTCATGTGCTTTGAAGAGGAGCTACACACCATGTGGGGAGGGGGTGCGCGGACCTGGGGCGGCAAGCCCGGCTCCGCAGAAGAGCAGGAGGAGGAAATTGAGTCATTTCTGGACCCCTCAACTCTGCTAAAATCCCCCACTGCTTTGCGCCATACGCCACGGTGGGCGAGTCTGGGGTTTTTTTCCTCTTTCAATTTTACTCTGAGAGCCCGCGGCAGGCTCGTCTCCCGGGGACCTCGCCGTAACAACCGAAAGCCCAGCGGGCAGCCTCTCTCCCCGAGGCCCACCCAACGATCTGAGCACCGGGGAAGGGTCTCGAAGTGTGATCGCCGGGGTCGAGGGGGGAGGGGTGCGGTATGTGAAGTAGGCGCATTCCTGGGAGAGGAGGGGGAAAATGGACCGTTCGACTTCGGTTTTTGGAGTTTTGTTTACCTCCATAAACTATAGGAAATTAGTTTTTCTTAAGTCGAATAGCCAGTTCCATTAGGTTCGTGTTTAATTTGGTCTTTTCAGAGTATGTGGTTCTATGGTGACCCTTGTGAAGGTGGGGAGATGTCTTTTTGTCCTCCCCGTGTTCGTGTCTGTTCAGTGCTGGCTCGAGTGACATCCACCGTGAAGGTTTCTGTGTCGGAAGTAGGGCGTGGAGAGCCGAGTGTACCGGGGTAGAACAACGAGCTGGGTTTTTTTCCCCCAAGCGCACTTTAGGGTGCTTGTCAGCGCTTGAAGAGGTCGAGAAACGGATCCCTTAACATTTCCTTAATGTTGAAACTTTGGCGTTGAAGTTTTTCCCGGTGGTGGTTCAGCGTTTCTCTCAAGGTCTTTGTTTCCCACTTAGCATAATTGAGGATTTGAAGAATTAATTCGTTCAGAAGGTATTCGGTACAGCTCTTCTGTGCCGACCATCTTTCTTGGATTTTGACTTGAGTAAGGAGAGCAATCGAAAGATTTTATAGGGAGCAACAGGTGTCAGCTAGGTATTATTCATTCAACAGACATTTGGGAGTGTCTGCTCTGTGCTAGACAGCGTGCTTAGCAGTGACTTTGTGCCAGAGAATTTACAGTCTCCGGTAGGGCGTTTATTGCCTACCACCAATGTGAGTGAATCATTCAGAACCCCTCATGCTGCTCCCTGCAAAAAAAGCTTGGCCTACAGTTTGAATATGACTCAAATGATAAGTTTCTTGAGCATCTTGTCCTTTCTTTGTTTTTCCTCACATGTTTCAAAGGGACATGAGTTTCTCATGTTAAGGAATAAGAAAATAAACAAAAATGAAGGTAGGGTTCAGAAATTGAGGATTGCTTTAGTTTTTCAGAACTGGTAAGCTGCTTAGAGATCAGCTAGCACACTCCTGCATTTTATAGCTGAATAAACACCAGAGATGTAAGATTTAACTTAGATCTTTCTGGTGCTCGTCCAGTATTTGTACTGTACTTTACGAAAACCCTTTATAAGTGCCAGGTACAGAAATAGAACCCAAACCTTATTTCATTGACATCATGAGCAGTACTGCCAAAATGCAAGTTCCCTTATATAGCTTTTATTTAATTGAAGTAACCCGTAGAGGTATTACCTTCCTTTAGTAAATAAGGAAACTGGGGTTTAGGGAGTAACCTCTCTTGCTCAAGGCACACAGATAGTAATTGGGAAGCTGGGATTTTGACCTGACTCCAAAGCTGGATTCTTTAGCATTTTGCTGTCTCCCACCTGGGGACCTATGGAAAATTTGGGAGTTGGGCATTAACTTTCATTTTTAATATGTTTGTTTTGGGCTTATATTTGAAGGTTCTCTTGAATTTGATTCCCTTTGCGAATTTCACAAAGGGTCTTGTAAATGTGCATGTTAGAAGGAGGGGATGAAGCATAGTGTCCATATCACTGGGAAACCAACTAACTATACACCGTCTTTCAGAGGTACCCGGTTGCATATGTGAAAGTCTTAGCTTCAGGTTACCCTGTCTCTCAACTGATATATGGTAATGAGTGTTAAATTACACATACACAACCCCTTGCAAAAAAATGAAACACCGGGATGGCAAGACTAGCAAATGGGGTCGACTAATTCTAAAAGTGAGCATTTAAACTTTATATAATTTAGAGGCAGTTCTAATCCTTGAAAGTAGAGGCTTTTGGTGATCCCTTTCCTCCAATACCACAAAAGAATTTTGCCATCATGCTAGAATTTTTTTCTTATTTGTCAGTACATGTGAGGTCATTGTCTCCTTTGTATTTTCAGAACACTCAATATCAAGTTCTGTTGTGTCCTTCAGGGGAAGACTGACTTTGAGAAACACCTCAAATATTCTGTAAATACACTGCTTTTTGCTTTTAGTTAATATGGTGTATCTGATATAAAATTGTCCCTTTGCCTGTTCTCCCAAGGAGTTACATCCTCAAAAAAAGGACAATTCAAAAAATGTAACTTACATTCTGTTGAGGAAATGCTTCTTTAAAAATATGCTGCCTTTGGGAGAAATGAAAATGTAGAATTGAGTTTATGTTGATTCAAACTCTAAATTGTGTCCTTGTCTTAAGCACATCTCAAGGGACAAATAGCGTACAGTAGTTTGTAATCCTTACTCCCCCCCGAAATCAGATCAGCAGTTTGCTCAAGTTGAAAAGACGAAAAGGGCTCACGTGCCCAGGGCACAGCAAAGTAAGGTGTTTGCAGCAGAGTAAGGATTTTATTGCAAGGTGCCAAGCAAGGAAGTGGGAGACAAGTCTCGGATCCACTCCAACTTGGTCTTTTAGTTAAGAGTTGGTTTTTTGTTTTGTTTCTGTTTTTGTTGTTTTTTGTTTTGGGGGGTTTTTTGGCTGAGCCGCACGGCCTGTGGGATCTTAGTTCCCTGACCAGGGATTGAACCCGGCCTCTCAACTTCAGAGCATGGAGCCCTAACCACTGAACCTCCAGGGAATTCCTTAGTTAGGAGTTTTTAAAGGGGAAGGAGAGGGGAAGCTGGTGGTTAATCATGCTCTTGTGACATTTCTTAATCATAGTTCCAGGAGCCAGGCTGTCTGTGGTCTATGTGCCTCCTGCCCGGTGGTCTGTGACCTGGTGGTCTGGACGTGGAGCCTGCAAAGGTCATCTTGTTCTGAAAACAACTTAGGCTTGTGCATCAGTGATGTTATCAGAGGTTACAGTCTTCAGATATCTGGTACTGGTTAATTATTACTGTGCAAGCATGGGGTAGAATTTAGAGGAGGAAAAAGAAAAGGGAGAAGGGGAAAAGTTTCAAATCAAAGCTTTCTTAAAAGCTGGTTAATGGACTCAGGCTCAAATTTCTGATAGTTTGAAGCTTTATATTCACTTGTTGTTTAGACACACAAAAAAGATACGACCTAGTCCATCTTGTTGGTAATGAGCTAACCCAGTCCTAGGGGAAGACAGATAGTACATAAATGGAATTGGACTGGTATTTATTATAAAGAGTTGGCAACCTTTCTA